ATACTTGTCTATCGAATTTCGGCTTTATTTCTAGCGCTATTAAGTTGAAGATGTATTTAAAAACAGTGTAGCTTGATCTGCTATATTTATTTTAGTTATTTTAAGGTTATATTCAGTTATATGGAATTTAGTTTGTGTATTATAATGTATAAGTTATATATTGTAGTTTGAAATTAACTTTCATGCAGCTAAGTTATAAATAAAACGAATTAAACTTATATATTTTGGTTTTATTTTAACCGACTTCTTAAAAAAGGGGGTTTTGTGTTCCACTGTATATTTTTGACATAGTAAGGTATCGTCACTCCACTCCTATCTCCCATTGCGGTCGCAAAGAGCCATCAGACCACCACGGATGGGGCCCAATAGGGCTGATGCCGATACGGAGTCGCGGAGGACTTAACTCGAAGGGGTAGGAAGGGCTAGAAGTAGTAGGAACGGGGTGTGTTTTAGTCAGTAAGAGTCTGACACTCCCTCCCGCCTCACTCAGGTGGGAGCAGTCATTCGATGATTTACCCCCTTAAAAACTCCCATTGCGGTAGGCAGAGACAATAGACAACATCACATTGAGAGATGTCAGAGTAGAATACATTTTGTCACCACCCTTACTCTTCCCGCGGGTGTCGTATACCCGACTAAGGAACTACTGAGATAGAACAGAAGCGTTCTATGTTCAACTGCGATTTCTTGCTTGCAGACCGTGGAGACAGAGAGTACCTGTGACATAAATATATTGAATAGTCTGCCAGCAGACTACTTATAAGTAGTGAAACAAATTCGAATAGGTTTAAACGTAAATTAAAGTCATATTACCCGAAATGTTACGTTTAGGTATCTAAAAGCACATCATCAATGAAATTATAATTTAAAAAATCATTGGCTATTCGAGGTGTCAAAATCACATATCTAACAAATCCAGCCAAAGAGATCGAAAAAAAAAAGAAAATAATAGAGGTACAGTCTGGAGCTGACCAGTCCCAGTTGACGGCGCCCGTTCACGAACATGACACGTACACCAGCACCGCCCAACTCAACCATATTGTAGGGAATCGAACGATCCACTGCACGTGCCATCGCCAATGAGATATTTGAGTGAACATGACAACTCCAAGCTGACATAAATATGCTAGCTAAGGAGGAGGCGGGACGCGTGAGGCAGCGAAGCGCTGCCTCCTCGCAACCCAGCCATCGCGAAGGACACACCGGGCGTCGGGGATCGCGGGACGATCTCCGGCCACCGTAAGCGCGGGCCTGCGGACGGCGAGCATGGGTGGCTCCCCGTCCGACCAGAAACAGACCAGGTGGCTTACTCTTGAATCCAATTCCGATCGATCGACATCGACATTGTGAAATTTCGTACTCTTGAGTTGCAACACTAGCGCCTATTGCATCCGTATTGCGTGGATATTGAATGAACTAATTGGTATTGAGTTTGGTTTTAAATTCCGTACTCTGAATGCTACTGTAACAGCTACGATAGGGGTTGTATAGTTTTGACATTGGATAATTATTGAGATTTTATTGGATTGAAATTGCATTGACATTGAGATTGGTTTCAAGAGTAAGCACCCCGAGCGTACGGCGCGTCGCGTTCCGCGCGCGCCTCAAAGAGCCATCAGACCACCACAGATGGGGCCCTATACGGCCGATGCCGATTCGGAGTCGCGGAGAACCTAACGGGGGGCCCAGACTCGACGTGCAGGAGAAGGAACGGGATGGTTTTTAGTCAGTAAGCTTCTTCTTGCTCGTTCTTCTCCACTCGAATCGACATTTTGGAACGAGCGCCTAGCTTCACTGACGGACAGACTGACAGACTATTATATATTTCATATTTGTTGACGTTTCAAAAGTACCAAATTATGGATTAATTGAAATAAATGCTTTTGAGTTTGAGTTTGAGTTTAAGAGTCTGACACTCCCTCCCGCCTCACCTCGTAAAAAATGTTTACGGAGGGGGGGGGGGTCCAGCAATTATGTAAATATTTTATGTATAATTTACAGGGTAAAATACCTATAGTAAAAATATACCTCTATTGCCGCTTTTTTTCCTACATGAATTTTGAAAGAGTAAGTACATTTAAATCTACAAATTACGAGTTACTTACGTAAATATACTGAGAAAATCTCTACTAGTTTCGAGTCTAAATTATCATTAATTAATTATTATGCATCCCTCACTGCTTACACTGCTTAAACTTCATCTTATCAAGCTAATTTCTCCTTCCGATTCTGAAATATACAAGATATTTAGCCCACCCCAATAACCGACAGCACAATCTGATATCAGTAAAACTTTAATATGAACGTAATTTATCATTCCCAAATTAGTTGCAGCTTTAGATAGACATCAGTTGAGTATGAGAAATTCAATGTCTATTATTGAAGCTACTATTTACAGGCATTATTTCCGGCACTTTGACTCAACATTCACGACTATTCAATAAGTAAGCCTTCCATTCAATGAACTCAAAAGTAAACACGAAAAATACGGGCAGAAACTATTAAAACTGATTTTCAAAATGAGGTTCCGGATACAGTTACAGTCCAAAGGGACAAAAATATGTTACCAGGTTTAAACGTGCGCAAATGTAAAGAAAAACTCCTTCCTATAGTTATTTCGTCCGTATAATAACTCATTGCGGTGCCATAGTTGGACAATTTATTCTACTGGAAGTGAACATGAATGTCCTATTTCATGGTCAAAGAATGCTATTTTTCTACAAGTGAAGGTACAAATGATGGCTGAAAGTTATTAATGAGACAGCCGAGAGAGCAGTAACATTGATGCAAGATTTCCAGGTACAGTCCAAAACTTTATGTAGACAAGCATATTACAAACTTAATGAATATATAGAGGATAAAAATGCATGGATGCAGGCTGGTCCGGCTCCACAGGATAACTAAAAACACTGATGTTTTAATGAAATCATTGCTAAATTGTATATTGTATAATAATTTAGATAACCATTGTAAATGTGAGAGACCTGTAATTAACTTAATATTAAATTAGATTAGTAGAATTCATTTGTGTCAGGTTGGAGTTGTCATGCTCACTCAGAGGTCTCATTGGCGGTGGCGCGTGCATTGGATCGCTCGATTCCCTACAATATGGTTGAGTTGGGCGGTGCTGGTGTACGTGTCATGTTCGTGAACGGGCGCCGTCAACTGGGACTGGTCAGCTCCAGACTGTATTATTGTCCTTAAGGTTATTTTCTTTTTTGATCACTTTGACTGGATTTTAGTGTTACATTGTTCTCGCACAATCCAAATAGCAAACTATGTAACTAGTAAATTGTATTGTGAACCTGATTGAAAAAGGGTAACCTATGGAGTTTCTTGCTCGTTCTTCTACATAGGAATCTACACCTTGGAATGAGCAAATAGCTTCACTTTTAATTTTTTTTTGTTTGTTGACGTTCAAAAGTGCCATTCTGGCCTAATTGAAATAAATGATTTTGACTTTGACTTTGACCGGGGAAAAATCGATAATAGTCGATGAGGAACAAAAAACAGGTTTTACTGCGTTGCGTACGTAGGAACACAGACAGACAGAGAACTCAACAGACTGAAATATCCTGTTGCAAAAGAAATACCTTATAGAGTAAATTTTAAATATAAAATTAAAATTAGGTATTTTAGTAATAAAATAAATAGTAAAATAGCGTTTAATTAGAGCATCACAGCGAAGATCAAAATTTTTCTTTAAAGTTTGACGTCAAGACGGCACGGCTCCCCGGTATCCGATATCAATGATATTTTTATTTTAGTTATTAGGATCAAATCTGATAGGGCCACAATAGGCACAGTACGGCGAAAACTTCTCAAAGTCAGCGTCTTTTTTTTAAGGGTTGTAAATCATCGAATGACTGCTCCCGCCCGGGTGAGGCGGGAGTGAGTGTCAGACTCTTACTGACTAAAAACCACCCCGTTCCTTCTCCTGCACGTCGAGCCGGAGCCCCGGTTACCTAGCCCTGATTTTCTTGTGTAAGACTTATAGGACGGTTATCAAAGAGGCCCTACCTGTGCTCGCGGGATTACTCCCAGTCGATCTTGAGGTGCAGCGACTTGCTGCTATGTAGGTACTGCAAGATGCGAGACCTAATTTTTCCGCAAGCTTTCTAGCACAATGTGATCGAAACAAAATTGCTAGATTGTTTAAGCCATTAACGGACGTTTGGGATGAATAGTGGGGTGGCAGTGTAGATGGGAATCTTTTGTCAAGGGCCACCACCTTTATCAGTTCTGCCCGTCTGTGCATGAGCGGCTGGAGAGGACATGGTTGGAGGTAGATCACTGTGTTGCCCAATTTTTTTACTGACCATGGCAACTTTAAAGCAAATTACTCACATTTAAACTTGTTGATTCACCATGGTGCCAATCAATAGGAGCAAAGCAGTGAAGGAAAGTGTTGGGAAAACGGGAGAAGTTACTCCATTTTTTAAGATTCCGTCGCGTGAGAAGGCTTAATAGTTAAAGCTACATAGAAATCATGTATGACGGAAATGTTCTACATAAAATAATCTAAATAAGATCCCACAAAAGCACACGTCTATCTTTTTTGGTTGACTCACAATAACACGTGTAACTCCCGATAGCTTAGCAGTTCGGAGCTTTCTGCTTATATTTGTTTACTCTTACGTTTACAATACTCATCCATAGACTTTTCGCTGTAACTGTAGGGCCGGTGGTTGAAATAACTTGACTCGATATTATAAATGTGAAAATATGTGAGTTTATGTTTGTGTGTATGTTTGATACTCAGTCATATTAAAACGGCAGAAGGTACCGGAATGAAATTCGGAACAGAGGTAGATAGAGTAATAAATGCTGCCTGCCAAGCGTGAAGGTGATGGCAAACCTTCCTTTTGTGTAGAGGAGCCTCATAGTTCGGCAGTGGACTATGACGGACTGTTGATAAATGAAATCAACACCAGAATACTATGTTTATGTCTGCTAAAAAATTCAAAATGGAAAAAGGGTTAAAAAATTAAACAAACAAGTATCTTACACCTTCATTTTATTTACAAATTACGAACAATTTTAACATTAAAAAATATATTTAAGTGGTGTTCTAAAATTACTGAATTTGAGCAAAAAATCGCTGACTTGGCCCAAACTTTGAACTTGGCCAAGGTTTACAAAATTTACAGTTACTTGGCTGTTACATTTCGCCAACATTACAATAATGGATACGTAGTAAAAGGGAAAAAATGGCCAAGGAATGTTGAACTTGGCCACGTATTCGAGTCACATTTAAGTCAAGTTTTTATGGACTTGGCTAAGTATACAAAAAATATTCTTGGTCAAGTCCTTAGTCTTTTTAATGGCGGCACCGCTTGTCATAATTATGTGGTTTACAAAAACACATTTTTAATACCATACAGGAACCATTTTTGAAATGATCTAAAACTTTTAAGCACCAAATAATATCTTATTCATAATTTAATATTTCAGTAAATCGGAGTAAGTGGGGAAACAAAATATAGTTATTTTTATAAATATTGAAATTGAATAATTCAAATGCCTTTGTTAGGAAAGGTTGTATATATTTTAAGTTTAAAAATATCTGTAGAAAAGAATGAGCTTTAGGAATTCCTTTTTACAATATTTTGGAATGTTTAAGTTAAATCTTTATTGAATTACTTTAATATTGGAATGCAGAGTATTTATAGAAGACCCTAATTATTAAAAGAAACGCAAGAAAACCTGCTATATCAAATAATTTGTAGTAGGTTTTAGTGGCATTTTAATTCATTTCAATCTCAAAAGTCAATTATAATCCTTTAAAGATGCCAGTTTCAGGGTTTTCATGTCATGTGTCAACATCTAAACATGGCTACCATTTTTATAGGTAGACGTTACCTGTTTAAGCCGCCCGTGGATACGACGGATAATAATAAGCACAATTGATACAGTTTTTTCAGATTTTTCTTTGATATCAGCGCCTTTTAAAAGTAATAAATTAGCACCATGTCTCTTTCTTCAAGTTTCGAATCTCTTTAGCCGAGACAAATACAATACATATAATTTCAGAAAGACACCAAATTGGACTATACTATGTTTCCATCTCTTTCTAACTATTGAAAAGACAATATTCAGAAAGGGACAAGTATAAAATAGAACATCATCCATGTAAAGTATGTCAATAAAAGTCAGGCCTTATCACTACTATCAATTAAGTTTCATTCAGCTAAACTGACAGATTTCTTATGGAAGACATGTCAAAATTATCTGCCAGTTTGATTAACGAAAACTTAACTAGATGTGATGAAAGCCTCACCATTTTCCCCAACCACACCTAAACCATCTCTTAACTAAGAGTTACTCAGCTCGAGGGAGCACTTACAAACCCCTTGTTTTGTCAGGTGCCACTTGTAGGTTGATGAAAACTGAAATGTCATTTAGTGTCACCTATCAGAGCTTAGGGGTCCTTAAAATTTAAGATAGGTTGGTGAAAATGTGTGTTAGTCTTTTCCAATAAGGCTTAACTATAAAGCTGCCTTTTATGAAGTCATAATAAGTAGGTATATCAAAAATAGTTACTCATGATATTTTGTTGTTCAAAAATCTATTAAAAAAATCTAATTTTGCAAAATACAAACTTGGCATATATCTAGCCAAGTATTGAGGAATATTTTGTTCTCATTAAAACATTTTTTATATTAAATTTTTCGTTCTCTTGGCCAAGGACCGTAACAAAAACTTGGCCAAGTTCTTTCAAAATTTCATAGTTAGGTATATACATTTGCCCACTCAGAAAAAAACCTTAAAAAAATATAGAAACCGCTCCTTTTATATAAAATTTAAAAACTATAAGAAACATTTATAATTGGTAAAAAATATACTAAACTAAGAAACTATGGACGGACCCATGAGTAATAGACTAGCGACTATCGGTAAATTACTTTTTTTATTAAAAATATATTTCTCCATACTTTACACTACGATTTTATCGATACATCGACTAATTAACTATGGACAAACGCGCTCAAGCTAACCGAATTAATTCAATACATTTTTAACTTTATTCCGTTCAAAATAAGATTAAAAACTATTGAATAACTCTTACAGTTTAGTATACTATGACATGCCCATGTCAAGGTAATAAATGAAATTAAAAGTATCGAATTTAATAGTCGATTAAGTATCGATAATGTCATAGTTTCAAACATATACACCTGCCTTATTTTTTAAACCGATACATATGATTTTTAATGGCAACCTGACGCCCAGAGGATTAAAAATAAAATAATAATGTTGATTTACCTTTAGCTATGATAACGGCTACAAATTATTCGTAGACTTTTTAATATTAAACCATTTTTACAACCATTTACACTTTTTCCCCAGTTATATTATCAATATTCCAAAGTACAATAAATAAAAAATATTTCAACTTTTACAATTTTTTTTCTACAACAATTGTCGAAAAAAATTTGACAATCAGGTAATTGTCTACAAAATAATTCGTAGCCTTATATCGTAGCCTAAGCGAACTTCACCGATGAATATTTACAGTTAAAAAATACAGTCAAAATCAGAATTAAATGTCAACCAAACTAGTCAAAAATTCTCAATAATTATAAAAAATTGTCAATTTGTAAAATAATTATCAAGTCATACTGTAAATTCCGGTTTGATCCTAGAAGATAATTTTGATCCAAACTTTTAAACAATGAAAAACTAATATATGCTTTGTTCTTGATAACTATTGGTTAACGAGGTTGGATCAATATTACCCCATACAGGGTCAAAATATCCCGGGTTTGGATCAAAATTAAAAAAGAGGATAAAATTGACCCGAACTTAAAAAATGTTTTGTTCAATATTTTACTAATTTATTTCAATTAATATGAAAAAATTAAACTTGAAATATTGCTTATCACAATTGAAGACTAAAGTGTAGTCATATATAAGTTTAAAAAAAAACATTTAGAATTGAAGGCATAATGCATAAAATATTAAAGAAAATAATTTGAAATAACGACAACATTAGATTTGATCGAATCAAACTGTGTTGCCACAATTATTTAAAACTGTCTTAGTCGATTTAATTCATTAAGTCGATTTTAAATATAATTTATTTTTATTGTGAAATTCAAACTTCGAAATTATTGCCAATTTAATGACGACTTCCTTACGACTGAAATACAATTTTGCGACATGCACGATTTTTTTCTAAGATTAATACCAAAAATGCCTTCAATTCAAAATATCTAACTTATAAGATAAGGTGGTATAACAGTAACCGCAAATGCTGCATAAAAACTACAAAATAATCGTATTTTTGAACGCAGACCGCGCACTTGCGACTAAGACGCACGATTAATCACTAGGTCATTAATACGAAGAAAAATATTTCAAAAATATTTACAGTTCAAAAAGGAATAGATTTAAAAGTAAAGTGTCAAAATCGCGCGAACGAATCACAAGTGCGCGGGCTGCTTTAATAACAGTGTTGCTATATGAAAAAAATAAAATAAAAAATACGTAAAATTAAATTATATAATATTGTCTATTCGATGTCGGTATATACCCATTACTTTATAGTCTTTTTTAGGATGAATGTAGTTCTTTGATATTGTAAATAAATATATATTCAAAAAACTTAATTTTCGCGCAATTACCTACCCAAATTCCTACAAGGTTGGCAACACACTCGTGTTACAGTTATACAGTTTAGCAAAAAGAGTTTGCAATAATAGAGATCGCTAGCATTGTACCTGTGGCAACCTGTGACACTACGACTCAACCGGTTTTGTTCATTATTATCGAGATTAAAAAGACTATGTTCGGATGATTGTATATTCATGAAATATGGTCAGAAGTGGGTGATTGAGATTAAGTCAATATTACTTCCAGTTATGTTATGAGTCCCATGTAAAGGCTGAGCCTATTTCCATACACCGAATCTTTCCTAAGTGGATTATTAAAATATGTATCTCTCTGCATTTTGTCCGCTAGATTGAAATCCACAGAGAAGTTTCACAACTGATTCTGTTGAATGTTTGTTATCAACACTTTGAATATAAAAATTATTGAATTATATTATTTACAATATCAAAGAAAACCAGACAAGAACTATTAAAGCAATGGTATTAAAAAAGTAACTGCCTTAAGACCGGAAGTCGCCATATTGAAATAGTTTTTGGCCTGGCAACACTGTAATATAGATTAAAAATACTTTGTGACTACAGATTATAAAATCTAAAAATAAAAACTAAGTAAGTAGATATTTTAGCTATATCTTTTATACTCGTGTATAAGAGCCTTTTTCTGACTTACCTCCATTTTATAAATGAGATTCGATTCCAGGGTAAGACAAAAAATGACTTTAGGCACGAATATAAAACAAAATTTAGTCTTAAGACAGTTTTTTTTCAAAGAGAATTTCCAAAAAGCTGATAACTGTCGGCACCTTATAAAAAACCAGTCAAGCAATGTAAAAAAGAATATGAAAATAGAAGTCAAAATATTTAAAAACCAAGTTAACTACAAAACAACCAATTCCTTCGATTCATTACCTAAACAAAAAAATAAAATTTCCAACATTGCACACAACCTTTGACAGCTGACAGCTATGACAGCTGTCAAACCTGACAGTTGACGTTAATGACATTTACCGAGCTGATCAGAAATTCTTGTAATATTACAAAATAGGTAATTAATAAATTGCTTAGATTATAGATTATCTTCGACTATTTAGTTCGTAGCCGTTGTCTTTGCTCGGGGTTTTAGCCGGCGGCGGTTTCGCTACCACGTGTCCTTCTAGTCTTAACGTACTTTGGCGGTGGGAGGATCTGTGAAAGGAGAACAATAGTAGATAACAAATATTAAACAGTTAAACAGTTTAATGAGCTCTATTCTGCCAATTAAGGCCTTTCGTTTGATATCCAGTTTCGTTTATATAATGGAGGCAGTTGTGGAACATTAGATTAGATTTAAAATATCCGATCGATCTGTCGCCAGGAAGGGGGTGACATTACAATAACTAAACCCAAACAAACACGAGTCAAGCTTAATGAAACTTTACTAATTTCGACCGTTGGTGGCTGGTCTAATAAGAAGGGACTGCAATGCTTCGCACAAAAGAGTTATAAGACTAGCAAAATACTTCTAATTTATCTGGTGTTAATTAATTAATTGTTAGTTGCCATGGGCGGTGCTGACTGCTTACAATCAGGCGACCCTCCGCTCATTTATCCCCTATAAATAGCAATACGTTACCTGATAAGACAGGTGACAGCGAGCAGTATGAGCAGTAGTCCGAGCGCGGACAGTCCCCAGCCGAGCGCACTGCGCGCCAGCGGGGGCACCTGCGTCGCCAGCCGGAGCAGGGAGCGGACCTGCTCAGGGAGCTCGTCGATACCCTGCGGAGAGACGTGAGGGGGTTAATGAGACAAATGGAACAAATAAATAAGTAAATAAGGATACCTACCAGTACCAATAGTGGTAAAAAAAGATGCTGAAATTGGCTGAGAAAGAATGGTTATGGAGAAAGCAAAGTATAATTTTGTAATTTAATTTTTGTAATTTAATTACAACAGAAAATAGTTTATGAGTGAAGGATCAATATGAAGCACCAATCAAGGCAAGAAGCCATCAAACATAAAAGTTATACTATAAATCGTAGCAACAAAGATAATGTCCGCGTTTTTATGCAAGTAAAGTCAGCTAAAACATCATTTATTCGACCGTGAACTAACAAAGATAAATCGAAGCATAAAATTATTGTCACAATTTGTTTACGCGACAAAAAATCTAAAGCTAAAACCATCAATGATCTGCTTACCTCTTCGAACCACAGAATAGGGAACACAATATCGGGGAAGTTGGCGACCTGCTTGATGTCTACCACCTGTGACACAGCCAAGTTGATCTGGATACGGGCGCGAGCTCTCATCGCGATACCCATCTCCTAAACATGGAAAATATTCATCATTAGTTGAATTCATTACATTAGAATTGATTGAAAAAGAAATGTGGCTCCACATTAGAATTGTACACAAACATACGAATTCATACACATCACAGAGACCCGAAACAATAATTTTTGGATCACGCAGAGTTGTTTACTGCGGGCATCGAATGCACCACACGTTGCATACCACACACAGCTTTCAGTTGCTAAGGTAAGTACTGTGCCAACCATGCAATTTAACCTTGTGTATCGCGGAAATTTTTTCAGAGTTATGTTTATAGATGCAAATTTTATACAATTCCGGGTATTCTTACGATGTTTAAAAACACCCGGTGGCATTATCTGCATACCTATCATACAATTACTTGTTTAGTGTGGGAATCAAACCCATGATAATGCAGAAATAAAATTTTATGTATAGTTAGATTAAAAGATGGTGAACATTATAAAATAGTATTATTCGACTCTACGTAAGCATTTGACACTTTCACTATCCCAACATTGAAGAATTATCCAGGTACAGCTCAGTATTTTGTAATTAAATTAAATTAATTCAAGTTCTATTAACATACAAGTCACGTACGCACGTACGCGAAACACTGCTGTATTACTTCACAAAACAAACTATTTGGGAGTACCCCAGGGCAGTATCCTCGGTCCATTCACATTTACAAAAGATTAATAAAACACTTACCGGTTGAACGTCGATGAAAAGTCTGTGTTTCTCTGGGATGGGTGGGCTGATGCCCTCCACGGCCTCACGGAGGCTAGGGTCAGCCAGGTAGAAGTGGGGGAACGATAGCATGATGGGTGAGTCTGGAAGAAATAGACAGAAATGAAATATAATGACTTAGTTAGTTACATTACATCCGTATTAAATACGGCTCCTTTGTGTAAAAAAACTAACGGCATTTAACCGTGCCGACATCTTTGATATCTTTGATATTAAAGTCAGTGGAGTTTATTATGACAATGAAATGAAATGATTCAATAACAAGCTTCGACGTGCCGGCCGTCTCAAACACCATGATGCGATATCACATAAAATCAACAAAATAGTGCTTGCGCTGTTTGCTGCCCGTGAAGTCACCAGAGGCCTAAATCCCAAAACATCTGTTTTTTTATGGAATAGGAGGCAAACGAGAAGACGGATCACCTGATGGTAAGCGATCAGCGCCGCCCATGAACACCCGCAACACCAGAGGAGTCACAAGTGCGTTGCCGGCCTTTTAAAAAGGAATTCGCTCTTTTCTTGAAGGTTTGAAGGTCGTATCGGTTCGGAGATACCGCCGACGACAGATCATTCAACAGTTTTACTGTGCGCTGTGCGAGGCAGAAAGCTACGTGAAAAGCGCACAGTTGTGGCCTGCCACCCATCTACATTGTGGCTACGCATTCGTAACTCCTCTAGTGTGTTCGGTGTCCACGGGTGTCCACGCTGAATGCTTACCATCAGGTGATCCGTCGACTCATTAGCCGCCCTATACGAATACTTCAAAACAATTTACCAAAAAATATGAAAATTCAACCTTACCATATTGACAAAGAGATACGTTGAAGAGTCCGTTTGGTGCACAGGGAGGTCCAGCGGGACAGAAGCAGCGGTTGTGCTCATCATTGGCGAAGACATCTTCAGGAGGAGTGTATCTGTAGCCCTGGATACCATCTATCGCCACCTCTTCGAGGAATCTGGAAAATATTGAAAGATGTTAGAAGAGAAGTAATCTTAATGAATTTGTGTGTATGATTATCTTCTGACCACATTGGGTGAGGCAAGAAAGTGACAGACTCTTAATGACTAAACACCACTCCGTTCCTATTCCTGCATAGAGCCGGAGCCACGGTAACCTCTAACTTGTCCGCAGCCCTGGTTGTTTCTACACTTACTAAACCGATTGAAACTAAGAACAAAACTAGAATTAAGCCCAATCAATCCTAAAAATATAGGCAGTGACTGTCCTCTAAACGAGGTACTTTAGCAAAAATCATATGATAAATCTTTTAAAAAAAATGGAATAAGTGGCAAACGAGGACAGCGCCGCCCAAGGACACCCACAATACCAGAGGAGTCACAGGTGCATTGCCGGCCTAGTAAAAAGGAATATACGCTCTTTCCTTGAAGGTTTGAAGGACGTATCGGTTCGTAAATACCGCCGACGACAATCATTTGGGCGTTAATGTAACAAAGTCAAGAATAATACCTGACAACCTTTATCTCCTCCCTAAATAACAGAACACACCTCAAACAGAACATACTAAATCCCCCCATATAACTCAACGTCGAAACCAAAACAGACAATTGGCAACAATCAACCGAGCATTGTTTAAAGTCAAACTATCGCTTTAACCAAAACAATTGCATGTCGGTCGGTCACATTACATACTGGCTACTGACTAACCGTTGCATAACACACACAGCACGCACGCGCACATCGTACTACACAAAACCAATACAAACTGCCCGTCGAATATACTAAAGATCACCACAACGCCAGACCATAATAAAGTGGTTTTATATAGACCGATGAAAGAAGCCAGTATAAACTAATCGTGGAATGTGCGAAAGATCCATACAAAGCACGACCAAGATAATCTGGTTGTGTATATCTTGATTTGCAGACATGGAATCAATCGATTTAATATTCATTATGACATAGTTTCTACAGTCATTTCAATGTCAGAGTTGAACTGTTTTGACATTATTAATAGCCAATGAGACTTGACAGCCCACTCCGCTCAAACTGTTGTGGTTCTTTCCTCAACAGAAAGAACTTGCACGGTTCTCACACATAGTCCTGTATTCATATTTGTCTGGACTTTAAAAGAGACGAACCTCTGAGTTTGTTTCGGCATTTCTTCCCAGAGTAGTCAGTTAGGAAATGTCGACCTCATCGTTCGCTTGATAAAATTGACGAGTAAAAGTGCTGCCTTGTAGCCTATATGCTACAAGGCTGCTTTTATTGTTGAAGTATCAGCCTCCTCGACATAAGAGGGGTTTGCCATAATCTCCGCAGGTAGGGTTAAAAGGTTCAGGTTTATCAGAGAGAGATGCTGCCTGGTCTCTGTCAAACGCGTGGTTCCTCAATCACTTAGGCTTTTACCACGGCAACTGTATTTTCCTGAGCTGTATCCTCATGGCTGATGACTTTTTTAGGAGTGTTAGAATCTCGTTCAGGTGAATTTTTCATTCTATTAGGGCATCCTAAATAATCTAAGCAAGCTACATGATAGTTTTCTGCGAGCATTAGCTTCGTTAGTGTTTCAATTAAATTCAAAGGGCACATCCCCTATGAAATGTGAGTATAGTAGTTTTTTTATTTGTATGTTTGTCCGTCAATCACGCTGAAACTACTGGACGCATTTTGATGAAATTTGGTATACCGGTAGGGTATGGGCTGACTTAGGTGATGGCATATTTTTATCCCGATTAAACGCTCCCATGGGATCATATTCTACGCGGATGAAATGTCGGGTAACAGCTGGTGGTATCATAAAATAATTGAGATAGAGAGGTGTTATATACTTGAGAAAGTTCCCCTGAAGTACCAAACGGATATTTGCACAATTTTCATTAAAGTTCTGTATATAATATTGCCTCTTTGGCCGAGTGATTGTAAGTGCGACTGCCGGGCGAGGGGTCTCGCGTTCGATTCCCGGGTCGGGCAAAGTATTACTGGGTTTTTAAGTATTCTCAGTAGTAGCACGGAGTCTGGAATTGTGTCCGGTATATGGCAATATGCTCACCCCTATTACATGGGACTCATAACATAAATAGTGAAAAGTGGGTGTTACATTGTACAGTGGTATAATGTGCACATCTGCCTACTCCTTCGGGGATAAAGGGCGTGATGTAATGTTCTGTGTATAATTTATAACAGTTTTACCACATTACAAGCTAATAGTGGGAACAGATACTTACTTCAAAGGCAGCAATCGGCAGAGATCCTTGTCGTAGACAGCAAGAGTATCATTCATAGTGATGTGAGGGGGAAAGATTGAGCCATCAGACCCTGCGATGCTGTTGCACGTGTCGCTGGTCCAGTGCTGGAGCTTGTCCCTCATGTTGTAGTGGCTGATGATGCCGTAGGTCGTCATGTCGTTGGCGCCGGAGAACATTGTTACTACGTCGCCGCTGGTGCCGTTTTTCTGTCGATTGGAGACAATTGGGGGTTAATGATATGCTTATATGGTGTAGGTCTACTCTACAAGTAGGTAATTTATTGTTGGGTTTGTATCCCAAATTGTTATTCATCAGACATGTGTGGTGTGGGACGAAGTTTGGGAGAGCCATGAATGGACCGGCTCGACCGGAGTGATACCACGGCCTCACACAAAACCGAAGTGAAGCAACGCTTGCGTTGTGTTTCGTCGTGTGAGTGAGGTTACCGGAGGCCATATTACCCACCCTCCCCTTCCCCAATTTCCCCAATTCCTGAATCCCCAATGATCCTCAAACTCCTAATCCACAAAAGGCCGGTAATGCACTTGTAAAACCTCTGGTGTTCCAGGTGTCCATGGGTGACGCCGATTGCTTACCATCAGGTGATCCATCTGCTCGTTTACCGGCCAATGACATAAAAAAATATAATTTCTAGTCAATTTATCAAATTCTGTAATGCGCATGTTGATCACAATAACAATAAACTATCCTTTCGACACAGTGTGCATTATAATTAAGAATTCACGACGTTTTGTATCGTAAAATAAGAATTAATAGGTTCCTTCCACTGTCAAAGTTATTAATTACCTTACTGTCTACTGGATCACTGTTCCTGATCATAATTTGAGAACCTGTAGGACTTGACAACCACAACAGAAGGATTTCACGGACTAAACAGTGACTAGTGCAGTGGCTCGGCAACTGGCTGTCATGCAACGTGTCGCGGGTTCGATTCCCGCACGGAACAACACTTTGTGTGATCCACAAATTGTTGTTCCGGGTCTGGGCGTCATTGTGTCTGTGAACTTGTATGTTTGTAAACGCACCCACGACACAGGAGAAAATCCTACTGTGGGGCAACGTTTTTATAAAATAGAAATAGATTTCACATTGAACTTATTGATACATGCACTTTTACTGACATTTACAAGAAGCAAGATGTCAACCAATGATACCCCCACCAACCGCTCATTAGCCTTAGAAACCCTAAAGAAACGAGACATAAGTAGGTGTACTTACGCCATAAAACAGCCCAAACTCTTCATAAGGCAGCTTCTGTTCCTTAGGCACGACATCCTTGGCCAGCTTCAGGAGAGGATCTTCATAGCCCCACAGGAGCTGACCGACGGACACTTCGACGAACGGCTTGATTTTGAGGATGTCCATGATAGACGCCATGGCCAGTCGAAGGAATCGCGCGGCATGTTTCGATTGTGATGTTGCACTCTGAAAAAGAGGGTTATTTGTGGTTAGATTTTTTGGAATATTGGTGTGTCATGTGACAATTTTAGACTAAAAAGCATGGTACTTTTGAAATTGAAGGTTTTAAAAACTATAGCTCTATATAACTATACATCATCACTGTATAGTTATATCAAGTGACAAGTCATAACACAAGAATTAAAAATTTAAAAGAACGAATTTATTTTTGAACCAAGTTGTAAGTAAATATGTACTATAGATTAGGCAAACGTTATAGAAGTACGTATTTTAAGAATAGCCTTAAACAATAATAACCTATACCGATAAAATAATACAGTTCCTTTCAACTTAAGTAGTAAGTAATACAATATAAACCCAACCTTCGGTTAGCAGTTACCTACACGACATGAACCAAGGTTCTTACTGCAGGAAGATCTCGACTGGTTAACCTTACACTAACTACGGTTTTAAAAGTATCATTAACTGACTTATTTAACGGTTCAGTAGTTAAAATATCATGATTTTATAGGCACTCATTTTTAAGCGGGGAAATCATCCAATAACTTCTCTCGCCAGTGTGAGGTGACAGGGAGTGTTAGACTCTTACTGACTAAAAACCATCCCGTTCCTACTCCTGGATCAGACCGGAGCCCCGGTAACCTATTGCACCTTACTCGCAACCCTGGTTAGGCATCGGCTCTAATGAGCCCCGACAGATAGTTGAGGACCTTATTTTAGCATTGAGATTTTTAAAATCACGCTAATTCTTAACAGAGAGATTAGGCAGATATACACAATATAACACCTACTTTTCATTAGTTACGGGGTCGTATGATTCCCATGTAATAAGGGGCGATCTTATTGTCATCATCAACAGCCTATTGGTGGCCACTGCTGACCAAAGACTTCACACACGGTTTCAGCATTAACTCATCGAGTACCGTCATTATAGAACAATAGGTTGCGGTCACCGGTGACCGCTTGGTGTTTGACAGTTTAATGACCACACTTGCTCAATGCAGGTTGGCGATTTTAGACTTATTTATTAGAAATTATAAGCACAGGTTTTCCTTCACCGTTTGTCAGTGGTGTCTAGACAATCTTAGAAAGTATATATAACTCGGAAAACGTCATATTGGTACTTGGTATGCAATTGGTTTATTGCCATACATCGGACAAAATTCAAGATTCATTATAGCAACAGAGTATTTCAAAGAGCCTAATAAAATGTTTATACCTAGATTTAATTAAAATTACTATCGCATATTACTTCTCATTACAATCATAATTAGTTGTGCCACGGTCACGTAGGCAATGTTTCCGCGTTTTTAGTGAAGAATTCGCACTCGACAAGATCTTATTATAATATAGAAGGTTCAAGTGTAACTATAGACTTGTAACTTGAGTTCAAAGTGCAAGGTTTCACTCGTCCGTAATAACTTAACATTATAGTAGGGGAGCCCACGATGCTAAATTGGGATTTACTTGAGCGTCCTTGGGACCTACTGGATTTTGAAGATATGCTGATAGAAAGAAGAAATGGTTTAGTGACAATTTCTTCCACCAGTGGGGGAAGGGGGAATCTACAGATCTTTGAAATTGTTAAGCGTAACTTTTGTTCTAATGGTCGAGCGTGTCAGATATTGATAATGTACATGCTCCATGTGTATTTAATAATAAAAAACTCTTAATCTGCCAGTTTGCATGGTGGGGTTGAATGTTCTGGAGAGTACAAACGGGAACCCTTCAAAATCCCCCCACTCTTGCAAATCAAGTTGGAATGGGCAGATTTTTTAAACGCACTTCCTTTAGCACGGTATTGACCTACCTTCCCATAATCTGACGAAACTGACTTTATTTAGTCAGACTTTTTTTTAAATTTTCAGTCCCCCCCTTCTAATCAGATCGAATATATGTTGGGTATATTCAACATGACACTAGGTTTTCCCCATATGTTAATCTGACGCGCTCGAGTAACTACCGAAATCCCTTCATGGGCTCCCCTACTATTAAGTGTATAAATCGTCGAAGAACAGGAGTAGGAACGGGGTGGTGTTTAGTCAGTAAGAGTCTGACACTGTCGCGGAGAACCTAACGAGTTACCGGGGCTCCGACTCGAAGTGCGGGAGTAGGAACGAGGTGGTTTTTAGTCAGTAAGAGTCTGACACGAAATCGGATTTTTTAAATGTAGTTTTTATAAAAGAATAAAGCATGAGCAATAAATTACATGATCACTCATTTCACCTACGTAGTTTTTGCTTCTATCTAAAATTACGCGACTAGATTCTGCAATTTAAGTACCTACAACCATTTAGCAAGTCCGCCATGTTTAGCATATTGACACAAACGACGTAGAATTGACGTCAACGAACACATGTTTGTCATTTACAGTCTAAACAAGTTTTAGCTATGATCCTATAATAATAGCTCATGTAGTGTAGATGTCCAGTCAACAAGGATGTAGCGAGGTTGACTGTCCAGGCGACACACGTACTTAGGTATCGTCATGAGCTAATGTTCACATGTAAACAGCAGCTCATGTAGTGTAGATGTCCAGTCAACAAGGATGTAGCGAGGTTGACTGTCCAGGCGACACAGGTACTTAGGTATCGTCATGAGCTAATGTTCACATGTAAACAGCAGCTCATGTAGTGTAGATGTCCAGTCAACAAGGATGTAGCGAGGTTGACTGTCCAGGCGACACAGGTACTTAGGTATCGTCATGAGCTAATGTTCACACGTAAACAGCAGCTCATGTAGTGTAGATGTCCAGTCAACAAGGATGTAGCGAGGTTGACTGTCCAGGCGACACACGTACTTAGGTATCGTCATGAGCTAATGTTCACATGTAAACAGCAGCTCATGTAGTGTAGATGTCCAGTCAACAAGGATGTAGCGAGGTTGACTGTCCAGGCGACACACGTACTTAGGTATCGTCATGAGCTAATGTTCACATGTAAACAGCAGCTCATGTAGTGTAGATGTCCAGTCAACAAGGATGTAGCGAGGTTGACTGTCCAGGCGACACAGGTACTTAGGTATCGTCATGAGCTAATGTTCACATGTAAACAGCAGCTCATGTAGTGTAGATGTCCAGTCAACAAGGATGTAGCGAGGTTGACTGTCCAGGCGACACACGTACTTAGGTATCGTCATGAGCTAATGTTCACATGTAAACAGCAGCTCATGTAGTGTAGATGTCCAGTCAACAAGGATGTAGCGAGGTTGACTGTCCAGGCGACACACGTACTTAGGTATCGTCATGAGCTAATGTTCACATGTAAACAGCAGCTCATGTAGTGTAGATGTCCAGTCAACAAGGATGTAGCGAGGTTGACTGTCCAGGCGACACACGTACTTAGGTATCGTCATTAAACCTAGTGCCTAATTTATCTAGATCAATATCTGCCTATGATCATATACATAATAAGCTAGACTCGTTAAATTAGATTTTAAAACGCATTATGATAGAGAACATTCGATTATAATGACTGAAATACAAGTTTAAAATAATCATCAATAATGATAAAACCGATTAGAGGCCATAAACTAGAAGAAATACGTCATATAATCACACTTTTTAATCCAGAGAATAGCAAAAAATTTACCACCGCTACTCTTCCTGCGGGTGTCGTATACCCGACTAAGGGACTACACATTTGACAGAGACCGGGCAGCAGCGCTCTCTGATAGTCCTGAACCTTTTATACTGCGATCTCCAACTCGCCTGCTATGCGTGGAGACTAAAAAAACCTCTTATAGAGATGAAGGTCGGAATCCAGTAGTGGACAGTAACCAGACCACTGAAGATAATGATAAAAACAATGCTCCAAATACCCATTCTTAGCCAGAAACAATAAAAGTTCCATATAAAAAGCCACAAACTCAGACTCCGAGCTAACATGACCTAGACAAAGAAGGCAATCAAACAGATAATGAACCTACATACCTAAGAAGGCAAGTCATTAACCCATTGGTCAATACTATGACACCCACACGATATGTGTAACGGTAAAAAACTAAACATTAGCATATGATACCGCTAAATCTTAAAAATAAACATTTTATATATGATCAACGATTTTCAATGGTTATTAGTAGCACGGAACTCGGAATTGTGATGATGACAGGGTATGAAAATTAAAAATCTAATTAGTCCGTAAGTTAGGTAATGAAAAAATATTAGACACGTGTTTTTTTATTTTGTCGTATTATAAAACGAATCAAGGTTTAAGAGTGGGGGCTAAAACGTCATTTCTACGTATAAAATGTACATAGAAGTGACGTCACGCGACATTTCAAATCAATATATCGTCGAAAGTATTCGTTTCTGTAAGAAAATAAAAAATACGTGTGTAATGATTTAAAATAATCTACCAGACGGACATTAAAATAAAAATTAGGCATCTACCCTATAATGGCCGGTGTTTGGTGATGGGCTCGCTCCATTTCTTCCAGACATACATAAGTACATAACCTCACGCCTGTCTCCTAGGTAAACAGAGACTATGGAAAGCCAATTGCTACGATTCCTACATAGCTCTTTCGCTTCATCAACAGTCATCAGTCTTTTCATGCATACTCGTCGGTTAAGGGTACTTTTAATTTGGCCCTTCTTTAATTCTAGCTGTTGCCCGGAACGTCGTCCGCGTATAATATGATTCCTGTTTCATCCCATAGGAGCATTTAATCGGGATAAAAATAGATATCCTATCACCTAAGTGCTGACTTAGGTGATAGGATATCTATTTTTATCTCAATCCGTTCAGTAGTTTCAGCGTGATTGACGAACACACATCCGAACAACGAAACTATCACTTCACTACATAGTATAAAACAAAGTCGCTATCCGCCGTCTGTCTGTCCCTATGTATGCTTAGATCTTTAAAACTACGCAACGGATTTTGATGCGGTTTTTTTTTAATTAGATAGAGTGATTCTTAAGGAAGATTTTTATGTATAATACATGCATAATGCATCCGTGCGAAGCCGGAGCGGGTCGCTTGTTTATAATAATTTATAAT